TCACCATTTTTTCACAAAAAATATTTCACACCTATTAATTTGACCATATGTGTATGTACGTAATGATGTACTATAACACTAACGCTGCAGTTGTACCTCTACTACACCCCCTCTCCCCCCCTTCTCACCAACCACCGGCTTCTCTATTGCCCACTTTTAGTCTTTGCTGATTATACTTTTTATCATCTTTAAGCTAATTTCTGTTCATTTCTCATCATACATGTAAATATATATACATATATATGTGTGTGTACATGTGTGTGTGTACCATACCACTTTGTTCCGTTACGTTTCGTACTGTTGTTTTCTATATATATATATATATATCTTTCTTTTTTTTCTTTTTTTTTTTACCGCGAGCTTGGCTTACAAAGAACTTTGGACTTAAAACTGATTTCTTTCCATAATAATATTTGCTTTCGACTAACTTTTCAGCTTAATTTGTAAAATTAAATCATAATTAAATTCAATATAATAATAAACATAATTGTAATAAAAAAAAAATTATGTGTTGCATGTTTTTTTTTCTTTTTGTTGTTGTTGTTGTTGTTAAGCACACACGTATATGAAAAGCAAATACGTGTGTGTGTGTGTGTGTTTTGTGAATGTGCGTGGGTGTGTGTGTGTGTGTATATTATGTTGTCGGTATTGTTCTGTTCTGTATCCGTCCGTCTGTCTGTTTGTCTGTCTGTCTCTGTGTTTCATCTGAGTTGTTGATTTTCTTTTTTCCTCTAGTTGTTGTTTTTCAATCTTATAACATTTCATATCAGATATATATAAATATATAAATATATATATATACATATATATACATATATATGCATATATATACATATATACACATATATATATATATACATATCGACTTTTGGGGGTCTTATATGAAGTAAAAAAATATATATAAAAAAAAAAAAAAAACAAACAAAGAAACAAACAAACAAAACGCGTCCTAACCTGCTTCACTGTCGCTCGAGTCACTCGAACTGCTATCACTCGAACTCGAGGACGATGAATCGCTGGAACTTGAACTAGAGGAGACAGGATTCGCTGGCTGCACAGCCTCGACTTTGCTAGACGTTGTCTCATCTGCAAACAATCAGAGAAGATGCGAGATTAGTTAACATTTCGATTTAATGGCCAATTGCATTTGAGATATAATTTTACCTTTCTTGGCTGTTTTCTTGCTAGCGCCCAATTGGCCAGTTACGTCCTGTAACCGTTTCTCCAATTCTTGTTTCTTTTCGGCCATTTGCTCGTCCTTTGATTTACCGGAAGGCTTTTTATCTGTAATACGATAATTGAGAATATTCATTTAGTAATTGCAACAACAACAAATTCTACAGCCCAAGACTGACTCAATGCGGTTAGAGAAATGAGACAGTAAGCGACATAAATATATATAAGTATATATATTTACAAATATGAATATAGAGTGGAACAGAGATAGCAGACATAGGTGAATAGAGATAAGGACTTAACTGAAAAACAGGGCAAAAAAAAAAAACAAAAATTTAAAGCATGCTTTAGAGCGTTTTCCTTGATTTATATATCTATGTGGATATATATTACAATCCATCTAGTCAACGGACAGACAGGAATGACGCATGCAATGTTATTGGAAAGATTCCGTTAAATAGCCTTGCAAATGAACCAATAATTCATTCTATGCTAACTTTACTTGGTACACAGATCACATACATAAGGTAGGTGTAATAGATGTATATCTATCTATATATATAAAAGAGAGTTGTGTAAAAGTGTTCCTCCACTTATAGCTCGAGATCTGCTGAAACGATTTTCATGGTTTTTAGATTTGTTGGAATGCGAATACTTGAAAAACGCGTTTTTTTCCCTAAAGATTCAAATTTCCATTACTCATATACTCAGTAGGCTTGCTAACACTGACAGTTTTCGGTCCTGCTCTCACATTATACAATAGTATAGAAGTAAATAAACAAATTTAGTCAGTCAGTCACGTAAATTCATGTAAATTATTTATATTTATATTTCTCGATT